CAGAGGTGGGGGTGAGAGGATTCACCAGAGACAGAGCAGGGAGCTGAATAGAAAGATCTACTGAAAAACACTGCTGAGGGGAGCAGCAGGAGAGACAGGAGAGGTCTGCTGTGCCATGTGGGTCACCTCCCTGGCCAGAGATCGAACTCATGCTGCAGTGGCTGCGAATAGCTACATAATGCTGCAACTTAACCCTTTGCACCACCAGGAAGGTCCCCTAACTTTTTTTTTTTAATCTAGACACATCCTTCGCTCTCTAGAGCTGACAGGTACTTGTGATAGTTGACTAGATCTAGATTCTGAAATCTGAATTTCGTCTCATGTACCTGTTCGTATATGGGATACTTTTATATAAATCACTAATTAATTTCTCTTAAATAATACTTATCAATATACATAAATGGACAATCCAGAAGTAGCTGCTTATATGGGTATAGTGGACAAGGAATGGGCTGCTGGGAGGCTCCATGTTGTGTCTCTTGCTGATTGGCTGGGCCTGTGGGGTCTCCCAGGCTACCCATGGCCACTGGGTTTGCACACATTACCTTTCCAAACCTAGCGTTGATCTGTTGCTTCAAGATTGTGTTACGGTGTTGGTGTTCTGAACAGTCCATTTTCAATTGAATTGAGGGGGTCACCTTCCTGTTCCATGATTGTTCTCCAATAAAACTGTTAAGTGGGCCTCCCCGGTGGCGCAGTGGTTTGAATGCAGCACTATGAAGCTGTCTGCAGCCTCTGCAGTGTAGGTTTGATCCCCAGCCATTAGAGAGCTACCCACAAGGCGTGGCAGACCTCTCCTGTCTCGCCCACTGCTACCCTCAGCAGTGTCTTCGTTCATCCACCTGTTCTGTTCCCCTCTCTGTCTCTGGTGAACCCTCTCACCCTCCTGTGCCTCTGGCCTGTACCCCAGCTATTGTATAAATAAAAAATAAATATTTTTTTAAAAAGATTTATTTATTTATACAAGCACTGGGTGCAGTCAGAAGCGCCGGAGGGTGAGAGAATTCACCAGAGCCAGAGTGGGGAGCAGAGCAGGCAGACTGACGAAGTACACTGCTGAGGGGAGCAGCAGGCGGCAGGAGAGGTCTGTGCGCCATGTGGGACCCTCACCAGCTGTCAGGGATCGAACCGGCACTGCAGAGGCTGTGGGCAGCTTCGCAGCCCAGTGCTCAACCACTGTGCCACCGGGGGAGGCCCAAAAATAAATCTTTAATAAAAAAAAAAAACTGTTAAATGAACCTAGGGCTCCTGGGCTTGGAAGGATGGGATACCCTCCCGGCTCCCAATCAATTGTCTCTCAATCAGACTGATAAATGGACTTGGGGCTTGAGGCACCCTATTCCGAACTGACTGCCCGTACCTACTTCTCAGCTTCCTCCTTCAACAGCACATCTGCACCCGGTCTTGGTGGAGGGTGAGTGAGGCACATGCACATGTGGGGGTGTGAGGCTGCTCCCCGGACATTACATTGTAAGGTGAATGACAAGTTAGTAAGTTTTAAGAAAAAAGATGTTTCATTACTAGGAAATAACTAAAAATGACTGATTTCCCAGGGGAGAAAAAGGTGATTAATGAATTTAAAATTTCTGTGGAGAACACAAGACTGTTGTGAAAAGACTCACTGGCCATGTTTCTCAGTTGGCTTAGTCAACTAAGATGTTAAAAGAAGACGAAAAGTGAACATGTGAACATGGTTATTTTTAACCTGGTGAGATTTTTAGATTTTTAGGGGTACACTAGAGTTTTGTTATGTCTAGAACTTATTTATCTTGCATAACTGGATTTTATGCATGTTGTTTAGCCACTCCCCATTTGTTTCTGCCTTGCTCCTGCTAACCCCCAAGTTCATCTTTATTTCAGTGAACGACAGTTGCTTGTCAGTGATCATGCAGTGGTTGTCCTTCTGTGATTAACTTATTTTACTTGTTGCCTTGTTTAAAATTTTCTTTTCTGATGTTTGAGCGCATACCCTAGATCTGAGACCCTCAGGAGGGAAAACGGAGGTGCAGGGAGAGGCAGAGAGTACAGAAGTGGGGTGAGGAGAGCTCAGTAGAGTGTGGTGGAGCACTATGGGTGCTTTGGTGGTAGAAAAACTATGGTGACCCAAACCTGATGGGAGAAATACCATATTTTGAAAAAATTAGCAAGGGTACTGGAAAAATAAAATAAATAAATAAAAATAAATAAAAAAGAGAAAAGGGAGAGGAAAAAATAAGTAAAATTTTCTTTTCATTCCCATGCAAGTTTGTGATTTTTCTGGCAGATAATTCTTTTAGCATATTAAAAAGAATGTACATGAATGAAGGAGTTATTCATTACCTTGAGTATTTTTATAAGATATTGACTTTTTTCCTAAAATTCCAACTCTTTTAGAGATAAGCCATATGGAAAGGTAAGGAAGCTCTATTTTTTTTTTTTAATAGAGGCATGTTTTTATTTATTTATTTATTTGTTTGTTTGTTTGATGGTTTGTTTATACAAGCGCTGGGTACAGTCAGAAGTGCGGGAGGGTGAGAGACTTCACCAGAGCCAGAGCAGGGAGCAGAGCAGGCAGAAGGACCGAAGGACACTGCTGAGGGGAGCAGCGGGCGGCAGGAGAGGTCTGCGCGCCATGTGGGACCCTCCTCCGGTGGCCAGGGATAAGCCAGGGATCGAACCGGCACCGCAGAGGCCGCGGGCAGCCTCGCAACCCAGCGCTCAACCGCTGCGCCACCGGGGAGGCCCAGGTAAGGAAGCTCTATAAAGAAAAAGGCTGATGTTAGCAAAACATGGTGATTCTCTTTGTTGTCATGATTGATATTTTTTATGAAATCTGCACTGTAATTTATTGAATGGTAAAATTGGAAAATAGCAAATATAAGGAATCAATAACTTTTTGAAAAAGATTTATGTATTTATGCATACAAGAAGTGGAGTGCAGGCCAGAGGTGTAGGGGGTGAGAGGATTCACCAGAGACAGAGTGGGGAGCAGAACAGGCCGACTGACTGAAATACACTGCTGAGGGGAGCAGCAGGCGAGACAGGAGAGGTCTGCTGTACCATGTGAGTAGCTCCATGGCTGGCCAGGGGTCAAACTGTGCTGCAGAGGCTGCTGATAGTTTCATAGGGCTATGCTTAACCCCTTGTGCCACCAGGGAGGCCCTAGAGGTACTTCTTGAACTCAAGCCTTTGTCCATGCTACCTGGAGAGACATAGTACTTGGAAACAAGTGGAGTTTAAGTGCTTTGGGTTTTATGTTCATGTTGACAAACGAGCTTTGCACAGGTGCCTGGAGGCGATGTTTTTGTTTACCCACACAATTCCCACCTTCGTTTTCGGGCTTAGAGGTACACTGGTGCATCTCCTCTCCCTCAGTACCCGCACCTCTAAGTGTGATGGTCTCAATGGCTTAGAGGGGACACCACGCACACCCTCCTATCTAGTCACCTTCCTCTTCCCTGACCTGGGTGTCTCCTCACACTTTGTCAGTCCCGGGCAGGAGAGTGCCCAGCAGCGCGCAAAGGATCACTTGGGAGCCAGAAGTATTTCTCCTGCCTCCAAGTGTAGCAGCATCCCGACCTTCTCCCCGTGCCTGGGGAGGATCGCTTCTGCAGGACGGGACGCCTCTGTCCCTGGGGCAGCAGCTGGGTGCAAAGAACAGAGGGCGCAACAGCATGTGTGGTTTGTGACTCAATGACCCGGCAGTCCAGGGCTCAGGGGCACAGATTCTCCTACCACCCCATTTGGAGGGATGCTAAAAATATTACGGACAGGGGCCTCCCCGGTGAAGAAGCGGTTTGAGCACAGAGCTGTGAAACTGTCCGCAGCCTCTGCAGCGCGGGTTCGATTCCTGGCCGGTCAGGGAGATTCCCACATGGCGGGGCAGACCTCTCCTGTCTCCACCGTTGCTCCCCTCAGCAGTGTATTTCAGTCAATCTGTGTGTTCTGCTCCCCACTCTGTCTCTGGTGGATCCTCTCAACCACCGCACCTCTGGCATATACCCCAGTTCTTGTATAAATAAAAATAAATCTTTAAAAAAACCCAGAAAATTAAAAAATATATATATTACGGACGGGAAGACGGTTTGTGAGGGGACCAGCACACTCACGTACCTTTTATTACCATACACTATACATGAAAATTATGATGGATCATAAGTGTAGAAGTTACAGAACAACTGACAGCCTGGGAGGCGAAATTTCCCTTCCTGGTAAATGGGCTGCCAGTCGTGGAAGAGGCTTTGTGGTGAGGAAAGTTATAACAAATATGATGAGGCTGAACATGGCAAAATGAAAGTGTTTTGTTATCAAGATGCCAGGTCACCGCATGCAGGCCTCCTTTAGTATTTTGCCCATGGTGTGGGGAAAGTAAAGAGAGAGAATTGCGATGTCAGCGGAGCCCGGACACCTGGCCTCGGTATCATCAGCTGACCCCGGGACACTTATGCTACCCGTTTGTCTCTATTTAAATGGAACTGCAGCTCCCTGATGTACACAGACAGGTCCGTGGTTTTTCTGTTCCCTTGTAGAAACCCACGAGTCACACGAATAAGTCCTAGTTTTCACCACTGGTCCGTACGTGAAACATCTCACATAGCAGATCTTCAGCAACGAAGAGGGATCACCGTATTTATAAAAGTATTCTCAGGGAAGGGGTGAAGAAGTGGTGAGGGGGTCACTTTTTTCTTTGAATGGATTGATTCCTAGGACAATGGAATGACTTATAGTGCAATTCAGTGGACTGATTCGTAAGGCAATATGGTTGCATGTGCCTTTAAAAAATTGAACAGTGAGGCGCGCTGAGATCCGAGACCTCGTGCAAAGGTCTCGTGTGGTCTGCGGCACAGCTCCAGGTCTCGTCGCGAGGGGCGTGCGCGCATTGGGTGGCGAGCACGTCCAGCCAGACTGCACCTTCTGGCAAGCCGCGGCGGGCCGGCTTGGTTTGCACTTGGCCCGGGACACAGTAGTGTTGACCGCACTGGATCCACGGAAGGCAGGACAGCACGTGAGGTGCGAGGGTGAGGAGCTGCCGTCTCCACGCCATGAGTGAGCCGGCGCTGCAGCGGAGACCGCCCAGCTTGCGCAGGAACCCGAAGGAGCGGACGGTGAGCCCGGGGTGGACAGGCTGCGCCGGTCTGGACCACCTGCAGCAGGTGGGCGCGTGGGACGGTTTAGAAGATAATGTGCCCAACGTGCCCAGGGAAGACACTGTGAAAGTGAAGAGACCGCGTGCCGAGGCTTCATTGGGTGTTTTAACCCAAAAGTTTATGGATCTCGTCAGAGCTGCTCCTGATGGTGTTCTGGAGTTAAACATGGTTGCAGCGGCACTGGGCGTAAGTAAACGAAGATTGTATGATATCACCAATATCTTAGATGGAATCAGTCTCATTGAAAAACAATCTAGGAACCATATTCGATGGATAGGATCTAGTTTTAGTGGTGTGGAAGAAGATTCTCAACAGAAAAAGCTACGGGAGGAAGTTGCTAACTTGTCGGCAATGGAAGATGCTCTGGATGAGTTGCTTAAGGATTGTGCTGAGCAGTTGTTTGGGCTCACAGAGGACAACGAAAACAAAAGACTAGCATATGTGACATATGATGATATCAATAGGATTCCAGCTTTCTGTGAACAGAATATTATTGTAGTTAAAACTCCCTCAGAAACCGTGTTGGATATTCCACCTCCGGGAGAAGACTCTATTGCATTACATCTAAGAAGCACCGACGGACCTATTCACTGTTATTTCTGTCAAGTGGAAAAGGATCAATCAAGTGATGAGATGTCTGAAGGTGCAGAGGCCACTTCATTTGAAAGCTAACATCCACAACACCTTGATAAAGAAGAAAATACTCCACAGCAAAGTGAGGAGTTGCTTATAGCTGGCAACTGATAGCATTTGACAATTTGTGTGTTGAGTTTTGGGGAAATAGCCTATATGGGTGAATTCTGCATCAGCTTTTATTCTCAGAGCAATAAATCCATGAAGTTCTCTCATTTTCAATTAGTAGTAACATTAAGGCCAGTAGTATCTTTGAGTGGTTCAGTACTTAAATTACTGATAGCTATGGTTTCTGCATTCAAAAATGAAACTTGTACGCATCCACTGCTAGTGGATAACTACAGTTCTCCTTTTGTCAGTGAAATAAACATTTTGCCTACTGAAATGACTTTATCACAGGACTATCACTAAAGCAGAGAGGACTGAAATGGACAATTCTTCAGAGACTCTGCCTTTTCCTTCATGGGTTTTGTGTTGGTATCACAATTAGCTGTTGTGTGTCAGGTGGGTGTGCACACCCATGTAAATGACTTTGTATATATCTGTATACTGTCTGGATTACTGATGAAAATGTCTGAGTGAAACTTTTCACCCTTGTGCATCAAGATAATGTACATGTGGAAAATAGCACAAATTTTCTAATTTCTGTGGTATCCATAATATTTCATTAGAATCCTCTGAATGAAGGTTAGAGGAGTTTTATTTTTCCCCCCAAAACTACATTTAAAAGTATCGCAGATGTGTTGTGCATTTAAGTTCATAAGTTCAATTAAAGTGTGTGAGTGTGGTTAACAAACAATAAAATAATTATATAGCATGAAATATGAAAGTCTGTAAATCAGTCTTCAATATACATATCAAATAAAATCTCTGAACTTTCAATAGGTTATGGGAAGCTAAAAAAACAGTAATATTTTATAGAATAAATAAAATTTAAAAGGTAAAAATAAATGAAATAAATACGTGAAATTAAATTAAAACTTGCCACCACCAGAAAAGTAGTTTTGACTGAAAAAGAAATTGAACATGAATCTGATCAAGCATTTCAGTGTAATTACCAAATTACAGGAAATAGAGGACAGAGGAACATTTTAAACCAGACCACAGGGATGCAATCAGCAAAATCCAGATTGTGGGGAACTATAAAACAAACAACTTGATTTCTTCTACAAACAAATTGAAAGGGGAAAAAAATACAAAGAGATGAAGAACAAATGTATTGTTTAAAGGAAATGTGGGAGGCATAAAATCCAGTCACAATTTTTGGATCTAAAATACTAGTTGTTTGAATAGTACTATATTAAAAAAGAAAAAGAAAATGAGAAAATTGGAAATTTGAATAATGGAAGATTTTTGATCTGGAGCAATTATTGCTAGTTGATTGAGGTGTAAAACTAATATATGGCTATATTTTCAGAGTTCTTGTGCTTTAAATATATATACTGATATAATTATAAAAACCATAAGATTTCTGAGATTGACTTAAAAGTAATTCAGGAATGGAGGAATGGAGGTTAAGGATGCAGCAAAACCAGCTATGAGTTGGTAATTACTGAAGGTAGTTGTAGGGAACAAGAGGTGGTTTATGGTACTATTCTAAATATCTTTGAAAATGTTTTGATTTTTTTCACAATACAAGTTTAAAAGTAGGAGTATAGAGAATTTCAGCAATAAAACTGACCTGATTGTATGAATGTAAATATTTCCCTTTCAAATATCCTTTAAATATTTAAAAAACACAATCACTTTAACATATAAAGAAGATCTTAATAAATTTAAAAGGAGAAATTATTACACTAGCAATATTCACTAACAATAACACAATCTTACAAGAAATTAACAGTACTGGGAAGAATGTCCATTTTTCCCAAGTTAATTTGCAAATTTGACCACTTCAATGGGACTTTTATTGAAGTCTGCTAATCATGATGTAGCATATACAGATGTTGATCATTATATGGTACACCTGAAACATAAAACATAATAAACCAATGTTACCAGAATAAAAATTTATTAGCAAAAGAAAAGTATATTTAAGTTTATACCAATTGAAAGGAAAAACAGCATTTCTTGCCCATGGCATTAGGAAAATTTCTTGTTCCCTGCCTAGTATACACAGGAACTTTTGAAAGCCCCTATTTCTCCCTATATCTTTTTTCCCAACCTCTTCCTTCCTACGCTTTTCAGTCTTTCTATTACTTGTCCCATTACCTTTGCTCCAGACTACAGTAATCAATACTTTTACCTTTTAATGTCGTGTTAATTTGCTAGGATGACTATGACAATATAGGTGACTTAAACAACAGGCATTTATTTTTTTCAAATCTCTGGAAGTCCAAGATCAAGTTATTGACAGATTTGATTTTGCTGCAGACTCTCTTGGCTTGTAGGTGCTGGCTGTTTTCTCACTGCATCCTTACATGGACTTTCCTCTGTGTGCAAATATCTCCGGTGTTAATTTGTGTCCCAATTTCCTCTTCTTATAAGAGAGCCTCAATTTAACTTAGTCACCTCTTTAAGGACCCCACTTCCAGTTATAGTCTTTCGATACTAGGGCACCCTTCTCACATGCAAAATATATTCAGTCCAAAATTCATTAACTCATTCCAGCATCAATTCTAGGCCCCCGATTTTATCTAGATATAATCTAGATATAAGTAAAGATAAAACTAAAGAGATGATTCATCATGAGGCAAAATTCCTCTCCAGTTATGATTCTATGAAACCAGGTAAGTTATCTACTTTTTGGGACTGGCGCAGGATAGACATTCCCATCCCAACAGGGAGAAAGGCAGAGGAAAGGCCTTACAGGCCCTAAGCAAGTCCTAGGCTTAGCAGGGTGGGTTATTTTGGTTCCTTTGGTGGAGGTCGAGATTCCTGTGTACCACAGTTCTTAGGGTTTTTTTTTTTTTTTTTTTAAGATTTATTTATTCTGCATACAAGACCTGGGATGTAGGCCAGAGGTGCAGGGGTGAGAGGATTCACCAGAGACAGAGTGGGAAGCAGAACAGAAAGATCTACTGAAATACATGCTGAGGGGAGCAGCAGGCGAGACAGAAGAGGTCTGCTGCACCGTGTGTGTGTGTGTGTGTGTGTGTGTGTGTGTGTGTGTGTGTGTGTGTGTCTCAATGGCCGGGGATTGCACTTGCGCTGCAGTGGCTGCCAATAGCTTGACAGCGCTGTATTTAACCCCTGTGTCACCAAGGAGGCCCAGGTTGGTTGGTTGGTTGGTTTGTTTTTTACAGACTGAGAAGGGGCTCTTATCATCTTGATTTCTAGTGTATGAGATAATGTCTGCTGTGTTCCTTATTTTTCATTTGTTTTTGTATTTAAAAGGGCAAGTTTATTATAAAAAGGGAGAGGAGAGTAACGGACACTTGCACAGACACAAGCGGGCAGAAGAGCTGCCCCTGGGGCCTGCTGGTGAGGGGTTGAGCACAGCGGGTTGAACACAATGCTGTGAAGCTGTCCACCAGTTCCCGGTGGGCCAGAGAGATCCCCACATGGTGCGGCAGACCTCTGCTGTCTCACCCGCTGCTCCCCTCAGCAGTGTTTTTGGGTCCTCTGCCTCTTCTATTCCCCGCTATGTCTCTGGTGAATGTTCTCACCTTCCTGTGCCTCTGGCCTGTACCCCAATTCCTGTGTAAATAAATAAATCTTTGAAAAGAGGAAAGAAGGAAAGAGCTGCCCCTGAAATAGACAGGGGGAAAGAGAGGTCTGCATAGCCACAGGCTATGGGAGGAGCTGCCTCTGCTGCTTTGCAACGGGAGGTGGGTGAAGAGAAGCACCGTGTGGTCACGGCAGGCAGGGGGATTGCTGCCATTTTTAATTTTTTTGACTAACTGGAAAGTTGTCGGTAAAGCCTGTGTCAGAGGATGGATTTAAAAAATAAACAAACAACAACAAAATACCCAACAAAACATAACAGGAAAATTGTACTTAATTTTAAGGATCAAGATTTGTCTTTGACTGGATGCTCTGTTGAACCCCACATTCTTTGCCCACTGGAGTGGCAGCCCCACTTCTAAGGCTCAAAGCCTGACCTACTGAAACCGAAGAGCGGGCTCTGCTCTCTAACACAGAGGAGGCAGACCCATCTCTGGGGTCATTCTTACCTTTTCTTTTTTTCATATTGGGAACTACTTTAATAGCTAATGAAACCTCATTTGCCAGATAAGCAGCATTCCTACCTTCTTTTGAAGGGTAACTTATGCTCACAGCTGAATGGGTCTATTGTCCATGTATTGAATCCCAGAAGTCTGACAGTCTTCCTTCATTTTGCCCCATCTCTGACCCCTTAGCTCAAAGCTGGGAGTGTTTCTGCTAGTATAACCCCATCCCTGTTCCTGGTTTCTGCTGAGAAGGCTGCTGAGACCGTAAGTCACACACATAATTTCTTTATGAAGTGACTGTCCAGTCACACCTTTGGTGCTCTCTTCAGAATATGGTTTCACTTTGTTTTTGCAATTTCCCAAATCATCAAGTTATGGTGCTCCTCCCCCCACTTTTTTCTTAATAATTCTTTCTCCAGTTTAACTCTTCTATATTTTACTATAGGCAGCAAAGAGAAACCAGAAAATACCTTTAACATTTTACTTAAAACCTCCCCAGAGAACTATTCACATTCCTCACAATTTCCACTTTACAGAAAATACTTTCCGTTAAGTTCTTTGCTACTTTATAAGGATTGCCTTTCCTCTACTTTTCCTATAACATCTTCATAATTTTCCTAAGCTCTTACTAGAATCATTTTTAACATCCATATTTCTACCAGCAGTCCCTTAAAGGCAATCTAGACGTTTTCTGGGGCCTCCCTGGTGCTGCAGCGGTTGAGCGCCGGGTTGCGAAACTGCCCACAGCCTCTGCAGCGCCGGTTCGATCCCTGGCCGCCAGGTGAGAGTCCCACATGGCACGCAGACCTCTCCTGCTGCGCCCGCTGCTCCCCTCAGCAGTGTATTTCGTCCGTCTGCCTGTTCTGTTCCCCGCTCTGGCTCTGGTGAATTCTCTCACCCTCCAGCGCTTCTGACTGTAACCAGTGCTTGTGTAAATAAATAAATAAATAAATCTTTAAAAAAAAAGTTTGAATTCTTTAAAAAAAAAAAAAACTAGACTTTTTCTAACATGCACCTCAACATTCTTCTTGCCTCTACATCCTCCCAGACCCAAAGCTACTTTTACATTTTTTAGGTTATTAGTTAAACAGTACCTGACTTCTCAGTTCTAGAATCTGCTTTACTCAGGGTTTCCCAGAGAAGCAGCACTAGCAGGATGTGTGTTCCTTTGTTTTAAGAAATTTAGCCTCATGATTGTGGAGGTTTGGTAAGTAAAAATCTTCACTATAGACAGGCTTGAAGGTAAAGACTCAGAGCTAAGTTGCAGTTTGAATCTAAAGGATGTTTGATGGCAGGATTCTTTCTTCCTCTGGAAGATTAGTCTTTGTTCTACGAGAACTCAACTGGTACATGTTGCTCAGTGCCACAGGAAATAGTACAGACCTTATTCTCTTAGAATGGTGGTTGTATGTTTCAACTAGCCTGGAAGCTCCTTGAGAGACCCACTCAATGGTGATTTAAAGGTTAATTTCATCCAAAAATCATCTTCATAGAAATATCCAGAATATTTACTCAACTATCTGGGCCCAGCCAAGATGACACATACAGCTATCTGTCACAAGTGCTTTCTGCAAACGCTATCTTCATGGCTGCTGCTGTAGCAAATGGGAATGTTCAGACAGCTACTGAAAATGCTCACTGAAATGCCACAACCCCTTTCCCCAAGTTGTAAGATTCTGACTAGGTTCCAGAGCTCTGTGACAGTGGAGTCTTGACAGTTTTTATCAGCTTATTAGTTATGTTTGTGGGTGGACAAGGTCCCGGGAGTTTGTTACTCTGCGATTTTGAGCGACATCACTGAATAATTCATTTCTGTGGACCCCTAAAAGTATTGTGATATGGAGGCATTGCTCCCACTGTGGTTAATGGGTAAGATTGCCCTGGGTCTGCCCAGGTTCTTCATACCCAGAAGCTATTCTGGACCAGCCTTTACCCAGGGATAGTGAACGCCCTGGCTCCAGTAATACAGTAGAAGGAAAAGTGGGGATTCAATTCCCAACTCTGTTGTTAACTCTATGACTTTGGACAATGGACTTAGCTGCTCTGAGATTTACTTTCCAAGCTCTTTTTTACATTTGGTTCTCAGAATTAATGCAAAAATTCTGATGTTTCTGATAACAAATATGAAAGCTCCTAGCCCAATACTGGTACTTAAATCTAGTTCCAATTCCCTCTCTCCAAGTAGAAATTTTCCCCAAGTCTTCCATTTTTCCACAGGGGAAATTTATGGTTGGTATTGGATGAATAAATAACCCCTGAAAAATATCTGGAGTCTCACAAAAGATATTCTTTACCCCATTACATTTGAACCTTTCGATGGAATTGAAAGTCTCATTCTTTTTGAGAGAAGTGCAATTTAGATAGAGGAACTATTCCCCTTCTCTTTTCAGATATTTTGCACAGTGGCAGTTGTTTTGGGTGAGGGAAGATCTTTGGTAGATGATGACATCATGCTCTTGCAAAGTGGTATCTTCCTCTTCAGAGGATAAGATGTTTGATAAATTAGACACACTAAGGTGCATATGAAGATATTAACTATCTGCAGGTAGGGAGTTGTGTGATTTGGGGCACATTGCTCAAAACTTTGCTCATCTGTGAACTGGGGATAATGAAAGTGACACCTGAAAACATTTTACAAACTTGAACTTAATCGATGTAAGGCAGTGTTAATAACTCATTTATATATCCGCTGTTATAAAATCTTAGCTGATAGTAAAAGATTACCCACAAAGTAACAGTCTGAAAACTGTATTAATGCAAGAAATGTGACATATTTTTCTCTTCAGTCTCCTTGATGGCAGATTTTTCCTACCAAACCTTTCCTAGTACAAAAAAATAAAAAAATGAAACCACAAAAATAAAAATTCCCAGGTTCAATTCTTTATACCACGCTTCATTTCAAAAAATGTCAAGAGAGCTTACAAAGGGGCTTGATGACAAGATTTTTTAAAAGGGATAAAATTATAAAGGAAAAGTAAGTGAGAAAAAAGTTATGGGAGAAATAAGAGTGCTCTTGATAGTAAATTCCAAATGTAATGTTTCAGAGCCTCTTGTACCACCTAATAACCATCCAGCCTTCGAACAACGCCAGTATTCAGTAACTTGAGGTGACCCTGTCTACCTTTGGACAGCTATGACCACTAGAAGGGGCTTTTTGATCGGGTCATCACTGTGTAATTTAGCACTTACTCATGCTCTCCCTATTATTCTCTACTTGATATTCTGATTCATTTTAACATTCACTGAAAGTTCAATGTGTCAGAAACTGTATTGAAACATGATCTTAATTCTCAATCTTGTGAAATGAGTTTTGCTAAATCTCCATTTTACAGAGGAAGAAAAGGGAGATAGGATTGTGGGTAACTTATAGGGGCATGTTCAAAAGAGCACATGTGAATGAGGCAGGATTAGAAGAGAATCTGAACATGATACAGTCACAACAAAGGCTTAAGTGGATTGCACGGGGAGCGCTGGAAATGGGATGGGCTTTCAGAGTTGGCCGAAATTGAAATAGGAGGTCTGGCGTTTTTATTATCCCATTATTGGATGTCGGTTGCCCCCAGGAGAGGCAGTTCCTTGCAGAGAAGACTAATTTTCCAGAAATAAAATGAGTCTTGAAAAGTTGTGGCAGGAGTGGGAGTCGTTCTGACAGCACAATATAGCACCCATTACATTTAAATACCTTTTATCTATCCTGTCACTCTTATGCAAAATTTGTAAAAATGTGTTTTGTCAATTTCCTTTTCTTATTTCCCTATCTTTACCACAGTCTCTTATATTCCTTCAATATTTATGAATTTCATTTTTAAAAATATTTATTTATGCATACAAGAGCTGGGGTACAGGCCAGAGGTGTGGGGTGTGTGTGAGAGGATTCACCAGAGACGGTGGGGAACAGCTTGACTGAAATACACTGCTGAGGGGAGCAGCAGGCGAGTCAAGAGAGGTCTGCTACGCCATGTGGGTGGCTCCCTGGCTGGGGATCAAACTCGTGCTGCAATGGCTGTGGATAGCTTCATAGGTTGCATCTTAACCCCTTGTGCCACCAGAGAAGTCCTTTATCAATTTCATTTTATAATTATTTCCCTAGTTATGTCAGTTTTCATCTCCTTCTACCGTCTATTTCTGGGTTCTTTCCCATTTATGTTGTTTCAAAGCACTAAATGCTCTTTCAACTCATTTGGAAATACTAGGTTAGTTTTCACTTACTTTATGTCTGCATTTCCCCAGTGTGTTCACATCTTACAAGTCTTGCCTTCTAAGGTACTGCTCTCACCTTTACAAGTTTATTTTGCTCTCGCAGTCCTTCCTGGACTTGCTTTCTCTGCATTCTTCCCCCACTATTATTGGAACCACCCCCTCTCTTTACGCACAGAGTTTCAGTCCTGTACAACTTGATTTTTGAAACTAGCAGTTTTTGTAGGTGGGTTTATTCTTCTGGAGTAAATTATAGGGCTGCATAGGGCTTAGTTCACCATGGTACTCTGCTATCCTGAGGTTTCCATGCAGTTCCTTTCACTCACCAGTAATTCAGAACCTATGGTAACTTCCTGGTTCAGTGGCTCTAAAACCTATTTGCCCAGTTTGATCAGGAAATAATGATGTTTTAGATTAGAGCAGTGGCAGAGAAGATAAAGACAACTAGAGGTTAAGATAGGTATTTTGGTGATATGATTAAGGGGAATTGTTTATGGTCTAATGTTAGAGTGAAGAGGTGCTCAAAATGGTTTTTGGCTTGAGCACTTGGATGATTTTGAAGAAATGGTGGGAACTGGGAGATGAATGACTGGTGAAGGCTAAAGTAGGTACTCTGGCTATACTAAGTTTGAAGTGCCTATTAGAATTTCAAGTGGATATACTAGGGAAATGTCTTTGAGCTGAGATTAAAAAAAAAGACGTCTAGTTAGATGTCACTACCTTTGGGAAGCCTTTTCTGAATTCCCACTTTCCATTCCAGTGAGCTGGTTACCCTGACTTACCCATAGCATCCTCCATCACTCCTATTGTGGTGTTTATCAAATAAATATCTTCAAATTTTCTATTTGCTGGCCCATTTTCTCTGTTAGACAATGATTTGTTTGTGGAACAGAACATACATCCAATTTTTACTCAGGTTCTTTCTTGGCAGTGTAGACAGGTCAGTTCTTATTTCTTCATAATGCATGCAAAAGAAATTACCAATTGTAAAAATCCTTACAACTCAACTGATATTGTTGTGTGCTTTCTTTGGAAAAAAGTTGCATTTTTGGGCATGTTCAGAAAAATGAATTTACCAATTTTTGGCTAATTGATAATCTATTTGCTCTATTCTGGTTCTTTATTCCCTTCTCTTTTCACCAGTACATCAGATGCGTTAGAAAGAGGGGAAGTGATACTATAGCACCAAACAGTCCTCTACCAACAGTTTCAAGGAAGAAAAGTTAATAAGGACCATCTAACTCCCTTTTGGACTATTCATTTCACTAGGTATAAACCAATCATGTTTCAGTCCATACTTACCAGTTTATTCAAATCTCAAAGAAAAAACAATTAATAAATGCCTTGCCTAAATGTACATCACCATTTAAATTTACTTACCTTTTTGATAGGACTAACATGTCAAGGATATACTCTGGCCTATTTTTCCTATTTCTGATGACACCACGTTGCATTTTGGTGTGTACGTATTCACACAAGGTCACACAGCAACTTCATATTACAACTGAGAATCCTGGGATTTGGATTCCTAAGCTATTACTCTTTTGCTATACCACTGTGATGTTCAAATGCTTACAGAAGGTGCTTAGCACAAAAAAGGGAGCACCAAAACAAAAAAAAAAAATCAAAATCAAGATGAAATAATCTAAAAGTAATACACCTTCACAGCCCTCTCCCACTTAGATATTGGTCCTTTTTCAGCTTCAACTGTTAACTTATATTTTTTCTAACTTAAAAATGAGCTCAAGTATGAGTATCAGCTTCCAGTAAGTAGATCACTGAAGATATAAAATTAGAGATGCAAACTTTTCAATTATTTCCTACCTCACTCCCAATATAAAATCACCTTTGGATGGGAAACAACCATTTACATAAAACAATATGTAGAAAGTAAAACACTTTAATATAATATAAACATTTCCAGAATATAGACTGATTTTGTTTTGTATCAGTACTTTTTGAGAACTTTTTAAAACTATATATCATCTAAGCTTATTATAGACAGTTTCATTTTCCACTTTAAGAACTAGAAAATACAAAAATACACTGCAAATTAGATTTAACAGCAACAAAAAGACCAGTTTAACTTGTTTCATACATTTTTCTTGGGGAAAACCAAGAGACATAAATAAACATATGACAACCATAACAATAAAATACTAACCATCAACATTAACACAAACCCATTCAAACAAGGAATGGATTCTGCAATGCCTGGTAATTTTTTCATTTAAAATAAATTATCTCCCATGGGTAAATAATTCACTATCACAGAAAGTTGATGAATAGAAATAGAGACAATCTCACTAAGGGAAATTACATTATGTGTAAGGAACATGTAATTTTTCTTTTTAAAGAAAATGAACAGTAATTTCAGGAAAAGGCATACTGAATACTTTTACTTCACTTGGCTTTTTTAAGAGCTTAAAATAACTGTCCATTTAGGAAAATTCAAGTAACATGAAATTGATGAAACCAAACTCTGTTTCTTCAGTTTCAACCTTAAAGAAATAAAATCAAAAGTTCATATACCTAGAACAGACTCATCCCTAAGTATTGGTGTTTCAATCTTTCTTCAACGGGTTTCCTTTTCTCTTATGTTGAGTATGTTGTCTTTCTCAGATGTTTAGGTTTGTTTGTTTCTTCTTTCAATTCAATTTCAATTTGTACACACAAAAAACTAAGCTTTCCTGAACTGACACTGGGCGTCTTCCCCTCTCCTTTTCTCCACTGGGTGCTCTTTGTCAAAATCCATTTTCTAAACTGATATCTTTAGTTTCAACCTTAAGGAATCAAAATTAAGTTCAAATTCTTATAACAGACTAATCCTAAAACACTGACTCTTCTGCCTTTTGTTTGACATGCTTCCTTTTCTCTTATGTTCTTATGTTGTTCTTTCTCGGAATCTAGATGTTTTCTTTGTTTCTTCAATTAATTTTCAATTTATACACACGAAACAAAGCTTTCCTGAACTGACATTAAGTATTGCCCTCTTCTCCATCACATGCTAGTTTTTTGTCTAAATACATTTTCTAAACTGATTTCTTTAGTTTCAACCTTAAGGAATCGAAACTAAAAGTTCAAATTCCCAGATCAGACTAATCCTAAAGTATTGACTTTTCAGTCTTTTCTTCAAAACATTCCCCTTTCTCTTATGTTGCTCTCTCTCAGAGAATAGGTTTATTAGGCTTGTTTGTTGCTTCTTTTGATTCAACTTCAATTTGTACACAAAAGACCAAGCTTTTCTGAACTGACACTCACTGTATCCACTTCCTGTTTTCTTCCTTGTTTCCCTAAATCCATATTATTAACCTATTTCTTTAATTTATCCAAAAGTCAACATCCAAGAATAGACTCATCCCAAAGCATTTCTTCTTCTGTCTTTTCTTCAACAGATTTCTTTTTCTCTTTCCTGTGCTTACGTTCTTCCTTCTCAGAGTTTACACCATGGCTTTTTTTCTTTTTTCTATGCTTCAGCTTTCCTGAACTGACACTGCATTTATTTCCCTCTTTTTCCCTTTGTCGGATGCTCTTGTCTTTGTGTAGATCTGTTTCCTCATTATTCCTTTTCCTCTTATGCTTGGACTGCTCCTTCTCTGGCCTTTCTTCGCCTTCCTCCAGGTGCATTCTTCTTTTCTGATGTCTGTGTTTATGACCTTCTTGATGGTGATTGGTATTGTTTTCTAACGAGAAGTGCTTATAAACTTCAGATTCTACACTGTTTGGGCTAGAGTTATTTTCTTGCTGACTAAGGCTCAGGGGTACTGGTTTATCTGGATAATAGTCTCTGGTGAATTGACAATAGGTCACAGAATCTAGTCTCTGTTTGCTGTCATGAGCTGGTAAGCACTGAGGTAACTGGTTTTTCACTGCTTGTGAAATATTGTATGTTCCTGGGTGCATCTGGAAAGTCTCAAATGATTGGAATCTTTGCTCACACATTCTGGGTTTGTAATCAACCATTTCTCTATACTTATGGTTTTCCACAGAGCTATCACTTATCTTTCTGAAACAAGTCTTTGGGTCTAGTCCTCTGGCTTTCTGTACTTTGATATAATCTTCCAATTCATCTTGGAAAGGGTCATTTGACCTCTTTGAATGAGCTGGTAACCAATGAGGTAACTGGTTGTCCACTGGTAAAATATTATATGGTTGTTGGTAAGACTGGGAAGTCTCAAATGAAGAGCTTTGCTCAAATATTCTTTGTCTGGACCCAGAATCAACTTCTCTGTTCCCACGTGTTTCCACAGAATTCTCTCTTATTTTTCTGAAACAAATCTTTGGGTCTAGTCCTCTGGCTTTCTGTACTTTGATGTAATCTTCCAGTTCATCTTGGAAAGAATCATATGTCTTCTTTGAATGAACTGGTAAGTAATGAGGTAACTGGTTTTCTACTATTTGTGAAAAATTGTATGGTCCTGGGTGTGTCTGAAAAGACTCACATGGAAGTCTTTGTTCATATATTCTATGTCTGGGTCTACAATTGACTACCTCTCTGTATGCATGGGTTTCCAAAGAATTCTCCTCCATCTTTCTGAAAGTCTTAAGGTCTGGTCCTCTAGCTTTCTGCACTCTGATGTAATCTGCACATCCATCTTGGTAAAAGTCTTGTTTCTTCTTTGAATTCTTCACTAGATTAATAACAATGGATTCTCTGCAAAGAAGACAGTAGACAGTTCTTGTTACTCAATTACTCTGAATACTCTCTCTGTTTTCATAAAGATTAGTCTGAAAATAAAAGCTGAAAATATTTTTAAAGATTTATTTATTTATGCGTATAACAGCTGGGGTACAGGCCAGAGATGCAAAGGGATAGTGAGAGGATCTACCAGAGACAGAGTGGGGAACAGAATAGGCAGACTGACTGAAATACACTGCTGAGGGGAGAAGCAGGCAAGACAGGAGAGGTCTGCCTCGCCATGTGGGTTTCTCCCTGGCTGGCCGGGGATCAAACTCATGCTGCAGAGGCTCTGGATTGCTTCATAGTGCAGTGCTTAACCCCCTGCACCAGAAAGGAGTCCCCTGAAAATATTTTAAAGTCTATCTCAAAATAAAAGCTATTAATCATGATTTTTAAAAAGATTTTATTTTATTTATGCATACAAGAACTGAGGTCCAGGCCAGAAATGCAGGGGATGAGAGAATTCGCCAGAAACAGAACAGGTGGATCTACTGAAATACACTGCGGTGGGCGAGACAGGAGAGGTCTGCTGTGCCATGTGGGTTAGCTCCTCTGCTGGGGATCGAACTCATGCCACAGTGGCTGGCAATAGCTTGACAGCACTGAGACTTTAACCCCTATGCTACCAGGGAGGCCAATCATGATTTTTTTGATAATGTTACAAAGAAGCTGCAGGGATAGTCAGGCAACTCTCAAGTACCTCACAATTTTTACACAATTTTTTTTATTCAGGTCTAGAATGAAAGGGATAGGGAAAAAAGAAGACATATCTGATACTGCTGTCGTACTTGAATTATAAGGCATACTGAGATATGTGGTAAAGGACCAATATTATTTAATGCCCTGAAGATGGTCTGATTAGAATGCCACATTGTTGTTAAAGTTCTGATTATAGTTAGTTCATTGTACAGATCTATGAATGTAATGGAACCCTGAGATTAAAAAAAAAAAAAAAAGGTCTAGATGAATGTTAATTTGGTGCATAAGACAATTTATTTCCTAAGTATTCAGATTCAATAGTAAATATTTTCTGCTAGAAAATAATGTGACAGAAATCCTATGGTTTTAAGTGCAACAAATCAAATATAAAATAGCTTAATGCCCCTCTGTCCTGCAACTTAGCTAGTCCCCAATTTTCTGTTCACTCTTCTTAAAATAATAGCACAGAATGAAGTAAACATTCATTACCCCACTACATGCCAAGCAAAACACCGTGTACATATTATAGTTCATTAATAACCACTTTATATTAGAGCTGTCCAATGTTACTTACTTGGTAGAAAGAGGGATTCTGCTCTTCCAATCCAGTTTTGTCTAACAGCAAGACCTTTGTTCTTAATCACTGTACCTCACTGGAAGAATAAGTGGAGCACTGAATTCCTGGACCTAAACTAGCCTTCCAGGGATTGTTTGGATTTGTATGGTTAGCCTGACAATGATCCTGTAGCATCTTTCCAAAGGAGAACTATGCTGTCTGGTCAGTAGGGCTGCCAGGTAACCAGTTCTGTCAGTTACACCATCATAGCTAAAGAACTGCCCAGGGACATGCTACTAGTATGCAGTATGTTACAAATAACACAAACCACACCCAGGATCAACTCATAGGGAAATTAATGTCTAGAAAGTTTGTAAAATATATGCAAGAACACTTGAAAGAATTCCTTATATTTGGTGTTATAGGAGCATTTGGGCAAAAATACTTACTTAATTTGATGCTCACTTCCTTGCATATGAGACCGAAACATTTCTAAAGATGTAAAGGTGATATTACAAATATGACAAACGTAGGTTCTTGTACTAAATGCTGGAAAAACAAAAAAGTTCAAATTAAGAAGGTAAATATGGATATACTTTGAGTCACATAGCTGGGCAAGAATTTACTAAAGATCATCTACTTGAACTTTCCTAAATTAAAGATAAGGCCCAGAAAGGATAAATGACTTGGTCAAAGTCAGAGACCGTTAGTAACACAGCTAGCTTCTCAGAACCTATGTTCTTAAATGAAAGCCCAGATTTCTTTACACTATACCACATTGCTCCTCTAGTCTTGGTCTCTGTCCTATGACATCAGTATCTGCCTGTTGATGGTTGTTTTGTGGAAGTGCAGCACCACTTCAAATTTAGCATTCCCAACAAACCTTTGCCTCTGAATCCCTCAACCAACCTCTTTTGTTTGACCCTAATTTTTCCTACCCAACCAAAACCTGAAACATTCCAAAATATTAAAGATGAATAAAATCATTTTTTTTACTCTTACCTGAAAATCACTGTAGTGCATTAGTTTACCGAAAGTAATTTCCACAGACTGATTTTAGATAGGAGAGAGGATCAGTGAGCCCCACTCTCAAGGGAAAAGCTGAAAGCAAAATTCTAAAACAAAACTAGTAGTTACCACTTCAAAAGAGTGAAGAACTACAGAATAGATATACCTATTCTGGTATCTGGTATACCAGCTACCTCCCTATTCTGCTTCTTGGGTAGAATTGGAAGTAGGGAGTACATTATATTTATTTTCTTAATCTCATCATCCTCCCACTTTTTATTTCATCAAAAGAAGCAAATTAATACATTTTATAAGGCAAATATAAAAACAATCTCAACCTAAAAAACAGGCAATAAACTTGGTGGCTACAGGGATTTTAGGGATAATCTAGGTTGTCATGTTTTAAATCAAACAGCAACTTAATCATTTAGATGTGAAATTCATCATTACCAAGTGTATTGGCCTTATCCAAGCTAAGATTATTCAAAAAATTTACAGGAGACTACTGTCAAGGAGAAAGAAAGATGCTGACTTTGAACATGAGAACTGTACTCACTACTGACATATACTCTATTGTAGGTCGAGGAGAGCTCAGCAGGTTATGCCAAAGTTTGAATGAATGATTCCTGCAAAATTATCTTCTCTCCATGTGCTCTGATTTCATGCTCCCAGGTCACTTTCTGACTATAATTTGGTTTTGCATATTGATACCTTTGATGATCGATACACTTAGAAAAAAAGACACTTCGGGAAATGGAAAGATATATATATCTCCTCCTACTGTAAATCAATAGTAGAATGACAGTGTATTAACTACAATGCTTCTTAGACTTTTCTAAGAATCACCTGGAGTGTTAGTTAAAAACACAGATCCCCTGGAAAACATGATTCACAGTTTCACACTAAGGGAGTACCTGTCCAATTCCTTGATCATTTATGAACATCTTCCAAGTTTGTTTGTGGTTTGGTTTGAGGTTGATCAACTCTGAAGATTCTGGACTTCCTGCAAAGCTAAAAGCTAAATCCAGGCCTATGCATTCTCACAACAACGCTTTTCGGGAAATTAATACTATCCTTACTTAGCAGGTGTGGAAATTAAGGCTGAATTCTCTTGACCAAACTTTATACTTTGAGGGCACCCAAGTTATGCAAGATAAGCAGGAACCCTAGTTTCCTCCAGACTAGTGGTTCTTAAAGCTGTTTACTTTAGAACCATACAGACAATAAGGAACATTAAAGATATTCATGCTAAGTTCCAAATTAGACCAATTAAATCAGAACCTATAGGTGTGGGAACCAGGCTTTCTTACTTTTTTGAAAACATTCTATAGGACATTCCTGTCTAGCCATTGTTAAGCACCACTGTCCTGGCAATGGTATTATCAAGCCAATGGTCTTTATTATGAGAATAAATTCAGATCATTTATCACAGGTTTTACATATTTTTCAGTGCTTATAAAGTATATTACATAGAATGTTCCCCTCAGTTCCTCCAGAATATTCTAATAGAGGGAATATAGGGCATTACAGAAGCTGCAGCTCACATGTGAAAAATCCAGAGGCAGCTCTGGAACCAGTGTCTGATTATTATTACCTTAGCCCTTGTCTTCTTCATACACTGCTATTCTTGATCTTTTTTCTAGGATATACATACTTCAGGAAATAATATATAAAATTGTGTAATATATAAGAATGTTTTCTGTGAAGATATGAAGCCTGTTTATTGGCTGCAAGATCAAAATTCCTGGCATATCCTCTTGGGACCTGCTTCGATTATGTCTTTTACTCTCTCTATTCTCCTATCTGAGTCAGCTTCTTGGTCCTGTCTTGTCCAGCTTTGATGTCCTCAGCACCACCACGAATCCTTGGTTCTGACTTCATGCAGAAACTCAAGCTTCTGTATATCATGCATCTGTCTGAGTCTTCTATAACTTAATACTCACAGGGTTCACTTTTCTCATAATCATAGTGCTATCTCATAACTTTATGGACTAAGGTCTTAGTTTTGAAAGCATAGGTTGGGGAAATATAAATCTCTATACTCTAACATTATGTTTCTCAATCTTGGCTCTATATTGGAATCACTTGGGGGTTAAGAAAGAAAAAACAACACACTAATGTGTAGGTCCAAAAATTCTAATTTAATTGATTCAAGGGATAGCTTAAGCATTTGGATTTCCAAAAGTTCCTTACACGACTCTAATATGTAGTCAAGGTTGAGAATCACTGGTCTAATATCTTAAATGGGAAAAATAGTTTGAGGGTTACATGTAAGCAAAAATGCAACTTAATGTGGGATTTAGCTTATGAAGAAAAATAGAAAATGTACAATATATATTTTCTAAAATTATGACAGGAAAACAAAATATTTAAAAAAATAAGATTTGTTGATGACCCATTCTGTGATGGATACTGTATATGCTATTTTACTTGATCTTTTTAGAAAAGCTTGTGACATAGCATTATTTTCATTGAATATCTGAAGAATCGGTGGTACAACTGACCAAGTTACTTCAAACATATCTCTGAATTTATGTTTGCCCCTCTGTAAGACACCATCTTTCAATAAACAATTAGCAAATGTTACTGGTAAAAAAAATATGTACTAGTTAACATGTAAAGCACTGAGAAGGATATTGCAGAATAAAATATAAGCCCTTGTCTCAAGGAGGCTAACTCAGCTAAGGGGCTATGACTGATTCAAAAGCTAATGATTAAAACCTATGAGAAATCAGAAGAAGGGGAGAGTACCAAAAGCTAGAGCAGTAAGGGAAGTTATGATAGATCTTGGAGGATAAGAAGCATTTGGACAATAAGGAAAACAGATAACAGCATTCCAGAGGATGTCAACACTATCAGGTATGGGAGAGACAGAAATGAGCATGACATGTTGAATTCAAATCATCTGTCCAATAAACACTGAGCATTTATGCAGCACCAAGCATCATGCTAGATACTAGGGATCCAAGAGAAATATAGTTGGCAGACTGCTTACAAGTCCAAATAATAAACAGATACATGAACAGAGGATTTCAATCTTATTTGGTAAAAAAGGTAACAGAAGTATGTTTAAGGGGTAATGAAGTTCAAAGAAGCAGAGGCACTTAGCCAAAAAAAGAAGGCTGCTGGAAGAGATGATACCTTAGCTAATCTTGGAAGGATGAAAAACAGTTAACTTGATGAAAAGAGTTGAGAAGTGCATTGCAAGCAGAGGAAATTCTGTATTTTAAAAAGTACAGAAATGTTTACAAGAATTTCTTAAAATTTGGAATTACAGAATAAAATATGAAAGGATGAGATGGGAAGGGGGAAAAGATGTCAGATGAGAAACATATGTTAAATTAAAGAAATTATATTTTTTTATTCTATGTGTTGGGAAACCCTGAAGTTGTTGAAGTAAGAGACGACAGGGTCAACTGTGTGTTTTAGAGAAATTTCTCCTCTGGCTGCAATATGGAGGATGAATTTGAGAGGAGCAAGTCTGGAAGTTAAAAAGACCACAATCATAAGGTAAGTATACTACATCAGGTAAGAGATAAGAAGACTGTGGGATAGAAAGGTCACATTAGGGGCAAAGTAGAGCAGGGAAACTGGCAAAGTATTTAGGGTTAAAACTGGAAAAATTTAGTGACTGATTGAACTGGGAGATAAGTGAGAAGGAAGACTAGAGGAGTCCAAAATAACTCTCAGAATTCTAGCAAGTGAGTGGACGGTGATCCTATTAATTGAAACTGGAACTTCACAAGGAAATGTTGTCTTAGACAGTGATTGAGTAAACAATAATGAGTCTGAGTTTAACTCACAGAGTCTTGATATATCTACTGAGACTTTCATATGAAGGCATCCAACAGGCAGTTAGATAATAGGAGTCCGAAAGGCAGAAGATTGGTCAGAGAGATTTTGGAGAAGCCAGAGGATGGGATTAATTTAACAGTCAAAAGTGGATGAGGGCCTCCCCGGTGGCGCAGCCTTTAAGCGCTGGGTTGAGACGCTGCCCGCAGCCTCTGCAGCGCCGGTTCAATTCCCGGCTGCTCCCGGCCACTGAAGGAGGATCCCGCATGGCACGCAGACCTCTCCTGCCGCCCGCTGCTCCCCTCAGCAGTGTACTTCCATCCTTCTGCCTGCTCTGCTCCCCGCTCTGGCTCTGGTGAATTCTCTCACCCTCCCTCGCTTCTGACTGTACCCAGTGTTTGTATAAATAAATAAATAAATAAATAAATAAATAAATAAATAAATCTTAAAAAAAAAAAAGTGGATGAGATGTCCTGAGGACAATGTATGTATAGGTAGGCCTATGAATAACACAATGATAAAATCATGGACAGTGCTACTCTTCAAGCTGGGAAGAGGAGAGGGGACTTATGAAAAGGCCAGGAAGTAAAGGACAGAGTTATAAGAATGAATAGAAGAGAGTGATGCCAAAAAAGCTGAGAAAGTAGAGATTTTTAAAGAGGAATGAATAGTGAATGGAGTAAAGATGTCCATTGGGTTTAGAAATTTAGAGGTCACTATGAACCTGTGAGGAGTACTGTCAGTGGAGTGGTGGTGTGGAAGGCTGGGGGAATGTGTGTCATTGAATGGCAGTTGAGTGGAGAGTAAGTAACTTTGAAACCAGTAAGAACAAATATGCAAACTCATGGCCCCTCCAAAAAAAAAAAAAAAAACTGGGCTAAAGAGGTTAGGGAAAGTATAGCAATTAAAGGGTAACTCTGGGTTAAGGGATGATTTAAGGCAAAATACTTGGCAATCCATATTTGGCGTCCAAATTTTTCTTGAAATAATAAATAAGACTGTTGAAGGGTGTGAGAAGGGGGAGGTTAAAACAGTGGAAGTGCAGGTTTATAAATGATTGCTAAGGGGAAAGCAAAGGAAAAAGATTACATAGAAATAAAAGTCCTGGATGACAAGACTCTGTAAAGGTAGTCAATTTCTAGACTTACATAACTTTCCATAACATCACCCAGTATCCTCAATGTAAAAGTACTGATGCAGGGTTGAAATCTTGTTACTAAGAGTGAGAGAATAACAATGAGATATAGGAAAAATCTTATAAAAGGTTACTATAGCGTTAAAGTGTGAGATTACGATAGTGGAAATGTAGTGGAGGAATACAGAAAGGAAAAATATTTGTAGGAAGACTTGACAAGACTTTCTATACATAGGATATAAAGAATTAAGTAGTCAAAGATGCCCTCAAAATTCACGTGTAGGTGACTTATTAGAACATAGTGGTAATACGGGCAAAGACAGAATACTTGGGATGGTCAAGTTGGTTTTACAGATTATTAACTCAATTTTAGATATGTTGAGTTACAGGCGAAGGTGAGACATCTAAGTGCAATAATGGGGCTAGAAATTAGTAAGAGAAACAAAACAAATACAATAAATAAAAAATACATACATACTTTAGTTCCATATCATTATGGTAGCCATTCCTGTGCTAATAAGATCTGGGCTGGATGAGGGACATGAAGAAAGCAGTGAGAATGATGAAGAAAAAGACAGAGATTAGACGGAGTAGAAACATATATTAACAATAGCAGATGGAAAAGGAGGCAGAAAGAAGGGAAAAAGGGTAAAGGGTGAAGTAGCCAAGGTGGCACATGTTAAACTGTTTTTGTCTTACCACTTACTTATAATATGGACTTTTGCTGTTATTGTTCTCTGAAATTCCCATTTGCTAGTTTATATTTTCCATCTATTTTTTAATCTTCAAATGTTTTCTGTTCTCAAAGTGGACCAACCAAGGCAAGATTGAAAAATCTGTTCTTTGAGATCTAGCTTCAGAAGCTAGTGTAAAATTACTTCAATCATTGGATTCAATTATGCTGATAAGCATCCCCTCCCTGGCCAAGTGAAAACTATGACCAATTCCTCTTCTTATTCTAATAACTGAAATGCTTAACTCCCTTCAGAAGTAACCAGTACATACAATTCTCACAGCTGACTCAATTCCAACTTACCTAAAAATGCTTCTAATCTAGAAGCTACTACCCACATCCCAGCAAGTGGAAGTCTGATATTTCACCGAACACCTACCACTTTCAGAAGTCCTACCACTTCTATTTCTACATCTGCCTAAACCAATAATCCTCAAAATTTCAGAAAAAAACACAGATCTCTATGTAACTTTTGGGGATATATTAAATCACATTATATAGTAAACTGAAACAGTACAAACACAGTGTAAGCACTCAATAAATAAAGATTAATAGTTCACTGATTCATATATTTAACTAATCTCTACCAAAACCGGCCTATTCTTTACCAGTTCTTATTACTAGCACTGGAAATATAGATGAGCTGGAGGAAGTGACTTCCCTCAAAGACCTTACATTCTACTGGGAAACAACAACAATGGAGAGATAATGAGATATGCAGGGCAAGAAAGCACAGAAGTCTTAAAGGAAGTAAAAAGGCTTCCAGGGCAATAGGAAATAACATGTCAAAGAATGAGTAGGAGTTAGTCAAGAGGAGAGGGACATGAAGAGGGTCCAGGCAGAATACCAGCATGAACAAGGGCACAGAGACAAGAAATAGGGTTAACAGTCTCGAGAAACCATGAGCAGTTTGCAGGTTCTGACCCGTAGAGATTATGGCAGTAAGTATTTCCAGGCGATAAATTGGAGAAAGTAGGCAAGAAGAAGATAGTAAAGAGCTATCGAGCTTAGATTTTATCCTTCAAAAATGGAGAAACAATTAAGAATTTTCAAGCAATGGAATGACATGGAGAGATTTATACTTTAGATGAAACACTCTAGTGGTTAAAGGGAAGGCAGATTTGAGTAGACAAAAACTAACAGCAGGGATATTTGGGAGAGTGGTTGTGGCAATATTCTAGAACAATGCTTGTCAAAAAATATTGTGAATACAAATCACCTAGGGATCTTGTTAAAATGCAGATTCTGATTCAGTAGATCTGTAATGGGGCCTAAGATTCTTTTTTGTAACAAATTTCCAAGTGACGCCTATGATGTTGGCCACAAACCACACTTTAGTAGCAAAGCTCTAGGAAAGACTTTAAGGGCCTTTACAGGAAGAAAAGGGCTGAAGACAAGGAGACAGTATTATTCAGGAGGTAAAACAGTCATGTTTTGGTGCTTTATTAGAGAAAGAGAAGGAGGTGGTGTTGGGGGAGTCACAATTAATTATGTTTATATTTTTTTAATCAAACTTTTTTTATTTCTTACATTGTTGTTTATTTTTGTACAATATTTGATTTCTCCCCATAAAAATTTCCCACCCTAACATCACCGACATACCGTCACTATAGTCCCTTGTGTTCTATTTTGAATGACTGAGGACTGAGTAGATTTGAAAGTTATGAGTATCCAGGTGAAATAGCAACTGTCATTTGGATACATGAGTCTAAAGCTTGACAGAAAAGTCATATGCATACAGGTGAGAGAGGAAATTAGGAAAATAGACCAGATCATGTTTGTATAATAAGCTCAAGAATAGAACCATTAGAACATATTTAGGTAATGAATTATAAAAAGATTCCCCCAAAGAAACCAGAAAAGAAAACAGAAACACAGGAGAAGAACTAGAGTACGAGGAGTTACATAGGACAAAGAAGATAGTTTCAAGGAGGGAGTAATGAACACTGTCACATGAAGCAGAAAGATCTAGTAAAGAAAGAACTAAAAAATAACAGTAAGTGGAAGAGAAAAAGAGTAGGAGGAAGAGAGAATATGAAGAGGGAATAGGATACACTAGTAGTGAGAAGATGCCTGTGGGGAGGGGGGGGGAATGGAAAAAAAAATATGGTTAGAAGAACAAGTGGATCACTCCAGTCAGGATCAGAATCTTTCCTGTGCTTGAATTTTGCCACTCTACCTTAGCTCCTTTGTTCACACTCTCTCCTTTCCACTTCTGCCAAACTCAATTAAATACTTCTTCTATGAAGATTTTCTGAACCATGATGTTTCATCCTTTGGTTATCAAAAATATGTACTCAAAGATCCATGTCTGTAACCTCTAGCAATGAAATGGTATTAACCCAACTAGTTTTATATGCTTGCTCCTTCAGGGAAAATGGTATATCCTTGTTTGTATTCCCATAATTAACTAGCTTAGCACCCAAGAGACACTTAAAGTGACTAAACGATACAACCACATGACACATGTTCCTTATGTACATATGATATAATGTGAAACCATAGGAATACCGATATTGATTCTGTAATTAATAAAGATCACCTAAACCTTCATAGGCCTCATTTTCTTGAAAACCAACAAACAAGAACTAAATGGACTCTGAAGTCTTCATGCACTTAAAATTCTATGATCTCATGGGTACTATCAAACAGTAAAATTATATATATATATATAATATATGTACATATTTTAATGTACATATATTATATATATGCCAGTATGTTTTGTAAAACGTCAATTTCATGTGACAGAGTTTTAGGATATTTTTACTGTTTACCATTTGCATCTGATTTTTTTGGAAGAGGCTTCTCTCTTACATTTTCTACAAATGTCTTCCTAGCTCATTTCTTTTGTGCTTTTTCCCAACACAATGTTGTTGGACTATTAATGAACTATTAAAGGAAGCAGGTCAGAGCTGGCAATACTTGTTTGGATTACTCAAATCCAAATCACTGCTGGAAGAGGAAGGCATGGTCTTGTCTTTAATCCCACCTGGAGGAGGCTTGACAGCATGGGGCTTCAGAAAAGTTGACTCCGCAGAAGTAGTAATAGGCACGCCTGCTGAAATAATTGTAATGAGAAGTGATCAACATGTGCTCAGCTATTAGAGCTGCATTCATTATCACATATTAGGAAAATTTAGAATTCTTTAAAAATTCACTATCTTTACACTTTTTTTTTTCACACAGGGATGCAGGATAAAGGTACTCAGGTTAAAAATAATTTCCTCTGTAAGAATAGAAGTTAGTATACAAGTCTGTCATTGAATTTCTCTAACAAAAATAGAAGGAATGCTCAACATCAGGCATTGCCTAATTAATTCATCTGAAGAATCAATGAAAGCATTAACGCTGCCTTAAGATAGTTCGTGAAATTGTTGTCAGTAAAAAATAGATGGTACCACCTTCTAAGTTGATATATTTCTTAAGTAACACAGTAAGACATCTATTCAATTCAGATTTGTGATTTTTTATATCAAAATAAAATCTATATAGTTGTTTAGCATTATAAAATTATACGGTTCCACCTATTTCAGAGCTCTTTCATTTACTTTCCTCTCCGAGACCAAACTGAATTTTGGGGACTTAAGATAAAGCTTTACAAGACTCTTTCTCTTTTAGGGCACACTAATTCTGTCCCTCATCAGGCTGACGGGAAGAAAACCAAATATATGAAAATTGGAAAGGCTAGTATAAATTTAAAAATAATTCTGGTCTCATTTATTGGAAAACAATATATTAAAAAGTTGGCTGAGGCTTACACTATGAGTTTGAATTTCATGTTGATTAATTTTCCATGCCAGGCATACCTTATTCCTAAAGAATTGAAGCTAGTGATAATGTGGTATTTATTTCAGAGGATTAATCATCTTATTTTTTGTTCTAGCACACACACTTTTCAAAGTACAAATTGAATTTTCCAGGATGTACTCTGCCACCTCAGGCCAGAGATGAGCGGTTTGGTTCAGATCTCATATGCACTGGTAGCCTAACAACTCTGGAAAGAGGAAAAGAGGTAATGCTTTATAATTCTCTGTATCATTGGGATTTAGCACAAAATAAGCATTCAATAGCCTAACTGAATGCTGGTGGTACATTTTCTTTGTATTCATAGGTGGAAAAGAATGAGATATCAGGGTAGGAGAGTCTGTAACTTATTTATTTCTTGCTTACAGTTACAGTTAGGAAATGCTACACCATAACTACATTGTTGGAAGACAATGGTTGGAACACATATGAGATAATCTTTTAGAGAGTACTAAAGGAAAAAAAAAAAAAGAAGAAGAAGAAGAAGAAAAATGAAACAGATGCCAAAGTGAAGTAAGAAGGAGCTAAGATTTAATGATCTGACTAGAAGCTGGAGAGCTCAGATTACTTGTTTCTTTTTAACAGCACAGCAAATAACTTGCTTTTATTTGGATTAAATAAACTGAAAAGGAGAGCTCATAACATTTCTTAAAATACAGGTAGCAATTATAATCTCCATATTAAATGACAAGGACACAGAAAGAGATTAACTGGGCATAAGGAAAAGAATCAAGTTACTGCCCTGAAGTTAAGGTCTCTAGCTTAAGAAAAAAGAAAAGGATGTCAGAGTTGGGGGGAAAATGATAGAGAGAACGGGCACTGAAGCTAGAGTTGAATGTAATCTTACCCATCGTTGGCTGAAATCCTGATGGAGACACCTGATCGTGCTCCTCCATAAATTGCTTCAGCTTTTTAGCATGGACTTTCCCCAAATAGTGAGAATGAGCAACAACTGGGGAGCTAAAAATCATGTTGCAGAGATCACAAAATTTGTTTCTGTCCCTTGCTTCATGCCTATGCACCTAAAATAAGCACAATCTTATTAGAAAGATTCAATAATTCCACGTACAGAATGAGAACATCAACATAGGCCACTCACCTGAAAATTCCTAACATGCATCTTCATTTTCTTAGCAGGCACTTCATTTTGTTCCCCATACATTTGAAAATAAAACCTAACATTTTGAACATGGTTTTCACTCTGAAAAAAGACATAATTATGACTTTATTTATTCAATAACAGAAGTATCCCAAATTTACTTCTTTAAATTTGAGGTCACACTTGTGTGATCTAATCTTTAATCTCACATAGAGGGATCTAGTGTACAAAGAAAGAATTGTACATGCTTTCAAATGTCTAAATCTTAGCTAAAATGAGAACTATGTTTTAATTTAAAGGGCACTAACTTTTTGGTTCTTGTTTCGACAGAGACTTCCAGTTGCTGCTCAATATCAAATCCCTTCTTCCTTAGTTACACAATATAGGGCAATGCACCCAGTTAAGACTGCATTTACAGTCCTACTTTAGGCAAGATGGAATCATGTGACAGGATTCTGGCCAACAAGTTACAATATAAAGTGTTGGGTGCAACTTCTGGGAAGCCTCCTTAAAAGTCTAGGAGTAGGCCCTTTGTCTATCCTCCTTCTCTCCTGTTTCTTGAATTAAGATGCAAAGGTCAGCATTCCATCCATCATCTAGGGCTAGGGGGCATCTTGAGGACAAAAGCTAATTCATCAAAAGACAGAAAATGCCTACAATCCTTATGATGTCATTCAGCTGTTGTTTCAACCCTGTACTACCTACTTCTCTAATTCTTTTAAGTGAGGAAATTAATCCTCCTAGGTAAAAGCATATTAGAGAAATCTTTGAACAAATGTATAACAAACTATATAAGAATAACCAAAATGTGGTGTAGGGAGAAGGGAAACTAATGTTCCTGAACACATACTATGAACTAATCACTTTCTCTATAGAATTTTAAATTGTGGAATATATGTGTCATACAGAAGGGTACAGGAAACAATATAGCTGGTCTATACCCACCATCTAGCTGTCAACATTTTGCTGTATTTCTTTCAGATCTCATTTTCAAAAGAGGTAAAATTTTTAAAATACAGTCCTATTCTTTTCATGCCCATTATCTCTTTCTCCTCACCCCTCCCAGGCAACCACTATCTTAAGTTGGCTTGCATCACTTCCTTTTATCCTTTACTATGTATGCATGTACCCATAAAATAGTATTATATACTATTGCCATTTTAAAAATTTACGAAAATGCACTAATTCCATTGTTATTCTTTTTAAGCATTTTTATAACTGTATTTCTAAAATTTGCCTATATTGATACATATAGTTGTACTTCATTTGTATTTGATGGTATATAATATTCCATTCCATATGGTATTCATCAAATCCCCTACTGAAGCAGTTATGTTCTGTTTCTTTAGCTATTATAAATAGCTTTAGCTATTCATTGAACACATGTAAATATATTTCCTAATACACATGTCTAAAAGTTTTTTTTTTTAAATAGATACCTAGAAATGACATTCTTGGTTTATGAGGTATAAGGACTTTCAAATTTAATAGGCATTACAAAATTTCTCTCCAAAGATGTTTTGAAGTTTACATTTCCAAATGCAGCATATATGAGTGTTTCTGTTTTCACATATTCTCTTGAACTATTAAGTGCTATCAGATTTTAATTTCTTCCAGCATGATGGTTTTGATAAGATCGCTCATTATCAATTTAATTGACATTTCCTGTACGATCACAAGTAAAGTTAACTATCTTTTCTCTGGCCCATTCATATTATTTTCCCATTTTTTATTGAGTAGTTTATTGTTCCAACTGATATATAGTCCTTAGTCTAGACACTATTCCTTTGTTAATTATATGGGTTATAAGTACTACACAAACTATGACTTGTCTTTTAACTTTATGATGATTTTGTATCATATAAATTTTCCTTACCAGGTATCATGATTTATTTTAAATCTATAGTAATGAGGAGAATTTATTATAGAGACAGGCAAATAGACCAACACAACAAAACAGAATAACAGCCTCAAAACAAACATACACATACATACATACATATGTCTGTGTACATCAGTAAGGCAAGAATGGACTGTCAAATAAATAGAGCTGAAACACTTGGCTATCTGTATTTAAAAAAAAAAAAAAGGCTGCTACCTTTATCAACATCTGAAAACCAATACTAGACACATTAAACATTTTAAGATAGAAGTAAAAATGCTAAGGTATTAGAAGAAAATAAAGGGAAAATATCTAGATGACAAATGTAGAGACTTCTGCAGTACTGTTATATTTTATATGTACAATAAATACTATATTGAGATAGTCTGACAGCATTAACCAAGCTATATACTGAAGGGGAAAAAATATCACCTTTTTAAATAGAATACTTGTATGGAAATGTTTTCAAATGTATGGGAATATATAATGTTGATTTGATGATTTAGCAAGCTTAAGCACTAGACTTACAGATGGCACTGAAATTTAAATTAAAAATATGCTATACCATTACATAATACAATGCTTTTTAGCCATTAAAATATTGTAGAAAAAGAAAAAGATGCAATGATAGGACAAATTATCCAGAATATGCTCTAACATGAAAAAGTAAATATAAAACAACATAGCACAGTATTATTCAGGGAATAGTATTCTCTTTTGTAAAAATGTGTAAATGTGTTTGTGTGTGTGACAGTTTGTGTATGTACAGAAAGCATGCTGGAATGATATAAGCAAAAGGGAGTTAAATGATGGTTACCTGCAAGTGATATGATTGATTTTTACTTTTCATATTTTGTGTATGTTTTACACTGAACAGTACTTCATAATCCCATAAACAGCTTTTATTTTAATTTAAATTCCAATGACTCCAACTACAATCATCACAGAGACAAACATGATTGTGTCTCTTTATTAACTTTAATCTTGAACTATGAGGTATGGGGATGTACAAGGCACACTCACATATTTGAGTCTCACAAGTACGGTAAGAGAGACTTAGCAGGCTTAAGAAAGAATCTCAGAGAAGTAAAGTGACTTTGCCCAGAGTTATATAACAGTGATGGAGTTAAGTCTAGAATCTATGTCTTTTCAACCCGTAGCCAACAGTTTGTCTATCTGTAATTATAGTGGTTGATTCCTGATCACCATGAGGACTGAAATATCAATAGTTGCCAAATAGTTTATAAGAATAGCAATAGGAGAAACAGGATGAGGTGTTTTAAAAAGCAGAGCTGGCATTTTATTTCTTCACAGTAAATCTGTCTAGTACTTCTGGTAAGCCCAATACCAGATATGAAAGACATCCAATGGCTCATAATCTGATGCAGAAGTGGGAGGTGATGCCAAATGAAAGGAAAAAACATCGGATATGAAATTAGAAGAAATCATTTTTAGGCTTAGTCATACCAATGACTAGCTACAGAGAATCACTATCCCTTTTGGGTCTGAATTTTCTAATCAATAAACCAAGGGAGGAAGAACATTAAACATCCCCTCCTCCAGCTTCAGAATTCTGCGAAAGGTTCTGTATCTAAAAGCATGTGCTAGCTGGTGCAAGATTTGTTCATTTTGTTATTACAGTCTTCTTTTGCTGTAAAAGAAGAATCTGGAGTTCTATAATATCTTGATTCACATTAATAGTTTCCTATTCAAGCATTACAATGCCTCCCTCATATTTGTTTACTACAAGGACAAGAAGAATATAGTGATTTGATGAATACAAGGGAGGCAGAATGGTGTGAAGTAAAGAAAACATGTTTTGGAGTAAAAAAGACTGAGTTTAAACCCAAATTCCCTAGATTTAAGAGGTAAAGTTACTGCACTGCTTTGAGCAAGTCTCCTCATCTATCAAAGAAAAATAACATCACTTACTTCACAGAATTCCTTTAAGAATCGAAGAAGATAACATGACATTTATTGCTTACAATTAGACCTACTTTATAGGCTATTCCCATTATTTTAACCTACCTCATAATGTGAAATTCTTTGTGATTCAAACTGCAGCACCACTCCGCATACATTACAAAAATTATCTGTAAAAAGTTCAGCCTTTTTCTGTTTATTCCAAGTTGTATCTATGAATAAAATACAGAAAAGTGAGACTGTAAATCACACTAGGGAATATAGATAAAAGAATCATTTTCATTCTTCATCTATATATTATTTCATATACCACCACCTCAAATCTGTTCCTGATTCAGTAAGTGGAATTCTGACCTTATAACCAATATAACTTCATCTATATTTCTTGTCAATGGCAAACTTTTTTGTGGGTATAATGAATGTGTTGACACTCTGACTATAGAGAATAAAAATTAAAACAGAAAAAAAATCTAAAATTATGAAAGATATTGGAGTGGTGACACACATGAAAATGTACTTAAAAAAGATATGTCTTTCTTTAAATGGCATGCTGTCCTAATCAATTCAAATATAATTAAATCTACTCTCAAAAAATTCAGGAGTAAATCTCCATTCTTAATTGGGGTTTCACATCAAACTCATATGCACAGTTTTTCTAAATCATGCATACTAAATTAAAATATCTGAGTGATCAAATCCAACCAAAAATGACTCTAATGATCAACCATGTTGGGAATCAATGCCCTACAGCGCAGACTCAGTCTTTATACATTATGGTTGTCCAATATCTATTTGGTGACAAAGTTGAATATAAAGGTGTTGTTATCTAGAATGGTATTAATCAAGTTAACTATGCTTACTCTAACAGAAAAGAAGGGAGGGAGCGATGGAGGAAAGAAAAGAGGGAGGGAGGGAGGGAGTAGAAAATATTCCTTGACACTACAAACCTATTTGTAGGGCTGAGGCCTAAGAATCTGTTTTTATTTTTTTTTAAAGATTTATTTTTATTTACTAATGCATACAAGAACTGGGGTGTAGGCCAGAGGTGCAGGGGTGTGTGTGTGTGAGAGGACTCACCAAAGAAAGTGCGGAGCAGAACAGGCAGATCTACTGAAATACACTGCTGAGGAGAGTAGTAGGCTAGACAGGAGAGGTCTGCTGTGCCATGTGGGTTAGCTCCCTGGCCTGGGATCAAACTCATGCCACAGTGGCTGGTGATGGCTTGATAGTTTAGAGACTTTAATCCCTGCACCACCAGGGAGGCCCAGAAAAAGGTCCATTAGTAATCTCTTAAACAACCAACCTAATGCTCCTAGTTCAACCTTCTGCTAAGATGGTTCTCAACCCAAATTGCACGCTAAAATCACCTAGGTTGTTTTTAAAACACATACAAAGCGGGAGGGGAACGGAGAGGAGCAAGAAAAGTGGGGAGAGAGTACAATGGACTGCGATGGTGGACTAATAGTGCTTTGGTGGTGGGTGAGCTATGGGTAAATACATCTGAAGGAGGGGGACCCTATACTTCCAAAATATCAACAACAAAATGTAAACAAATGTTACCTCAAAAAGCAACAACACAAACACACACACACACACACACACACAAAAGAACTAATTGAACAGAAAAAAAAAAAAAGCAACAACAACAAAACCAGACTCTACCACAAGCCAATTAACTCAAATCTCTAGGAGATTCTGGTCACATTTTATTTTTATTTTTTTTAAAGATTTCCAAGTGATTCTGTTGCACAGTAAAGGTTGAGAAGTAATGTTATCTTTTTAGTAGCCAAATTTTGTATCTGAAATCTGTTTTCCTAATGTAGGGGACCTCAAACTTCAGTGTGTACCAAATAGAATCAGTGGGAGACTGTCAAAAGAGATTACTGGGGGCCTCCCCGGTGGCCCAGCGGTTGAGCACTAGGTTGCAAAGCTGCCTGCAGCCTCTGCAGCGCCGGTTCGATCCCCGGCTGCTCCCCGGCCACCGGAGGAGGGTCCCACATGGCGCACAGACCTCTCCTGCCGCCCGCTGCTCCCCTCAGCAGTGTACTTCCATCCTTCTGCCTGCTCTGCTCCCCACTCTGGCTCTGGTGAATTCTCTCACCCTCCCGCGCTTCTGACTGTACCCAGTGATTGTATGTATAAATGAATGAATGAATGAATGAATAAATAAACAAAGAGATTACTGGATCCCATCCCTGAATTTCTGTTTCAGTAGTTCTGGGGTGAAATAAAGTCTAAGAACATATATTTTCTAAAAGTTCCTTGATGACACTGATGCTGTTGGTCCAAGGATCACACTTAGAGAACCACTATCCTAGAGCTTCCTCAAAGTCATGACAAGTATAATCCTTCTTCTAAAATGGCAATTCTTCAATATTTTAAGAAAGTCATGAGGTCTTCATTCCTTCCCTTCTTCTTGAGCCTTTTTGTAAATTAACCCCAGTTTCATCATACAGCATGATTTCGTCTTTTCTCTAGTTTGCCTGCATCCTTCCATTCATAAAGTGCAGTCTACACACAATCATCCTAATCAGGCCACAATAACAACAAACAAGTAAATGATATCTTCATCTCATTTTTTTAAATTGTGGCCCAAAAAATCCCATGAAATAAAATTTAGTCTTAACCATTTAAAAATCCATAGTTTGATAGCGTTAGACATACTTATTTTGAATATTTCTCTTCTATTAATATAGTCAGAATTTTACCATTTTGGGGTGGTTACATGACTCTGTTGACTTATGCTAACTTTTTATTTTATTTATATATATATATATTTTGCTTTGATGATTTTTTATTATTTTTTGCATCATTGTTTATTTTTAAACAATATTTGCTTCCCCTCCCCGCTTCACTCATGCTAACTTTTGACTAAAATACAAACTTCTTTTTCACATAAAGCTAGTTAAACGCTACCCTCCAGGACATAGTTATATAGATAGAAATGTTTCTGGGCCCCAAAAATAGACCCAATATACACACATATTTGTTCTGCTTAAATTTTACCTAGTTAGGTTCTACCAATCATTTTGTTCCTTCAAAATCTGTTTAACATCTTCAATCTGTTGACAGAATGCTTTGTGGAAGGTGGCTTTCTACTGAGAACGCTTATAGATGATGGAAAATTGCTCTTTAGAGGCTATTCTACATGGCTAAATACTGCTCAAGCTGCGTTTTCCTTAAATTAGACATGAATGTGATACTCTTCTACTTTCTAAAGGTGATACCCAAGCCTTGGAGAGGTCAAACAATTTTCTCAGAGTCACACAGCTAGTGTCAGAGCTAGGGTTTAGGTCTAAGTCCAACCAAGATTTCCTTGAGAGTTGGTTCTTAAAAAGTGGTGATGGACAGAAACTAGATTTTTGGTGTTGAGTATAATGTATAGATGTTGATATGTAAGTCTGTATAACTGAAATATATGGTATAAACCAATATTACTCCCCCCAAAGAGCCCAAGTTATGCTGAATGAGAGACTTCATTCTAGGATGGTATATATAAGAAATATGTCTGATTTGCAAGCAATACCAAATAAATGTTCCTTTAGACCCCTCTCTAAGCCCATCTCCACTATTTGAGATATGATTTCTAATTCCCAGAAAACCAATATTACTCCCCCCAAAGAGCCCAAGTTATGTTGAATGAGAGACTTCATTCTAGGATGGTATATATAAGAAATATGTCTGATTTGCAAGCAATACTAAATAAAATGTTCCTTTAGACCCCTCTCTAAGCCCATCTCCACTATTTGAGATATGATTTCTAATTCCCAGAAACAAATGACCTATATAGGCAATTGTGAAGTGGGAGAGGAAGCTGCTGATAGTACACACTTTTTCAGCCTGTCTCAGGGGGAAGGCCTAGTGAGTAGAAAAACCTCAGGGAGTAAATATTAAATTAGGGGCCAGGTGAGCAAATGACTTTGGCTGTGGCAGAAACTAATGTTTACTGAGCACTCACTACATACCAGAAACTAAAGTAAGTGTTCTGGAAAAGAACTGGGGATTGGGAGTTGCTTCTGGTAGGAATGGGGACTCCTATATTTTTTCTCTTTCTTTTTCTTCTTTACACTAGCTCCATGTTTCTTCTCTTCCTTATTAGAATACAAAAGAAATGTATTTTTATTGGTTGGCTGTTAAATATAGGTTAATAGTAATTCTTAATTCCAAAAGAAGTAAAAGTTATAAAAAAGCAGTAGAGAGAAACTGCATTACAGTCTTTATCCCTCTATTTACCTCTATTAACTAGCTGTATGACTAAGAACGTAACACTACCTTTCTGATTTCTATTTCTGAATTTTCTTTTGTACTTGACTATATATGGGTTGATGGTCACCAGTGGGAAAATATTTATTATAGACAGGAACACATATCAGAAGCAAAATTTTGATGGGGCATGTAAAAGTGGACATGAATATTTTAACTGCTTCGAAGTCTTAAGACTACCAGGAGACATAAAAGAGTTCATACAAATTTTAGAGCCTAAACATTCAGTCTCAATATTTCTTCTGTTTCACTATGTGCCTCTACTTGTCTATGTCCTAACCCTGGAGCTGGTTCTCTCCAAAATATTTCTTTGCAAAAACATACACAGCATTTCTATTGCCAACTATAATGTTTTAGTCATTAAAGCTACTGTCAAATTCTTCAGCAAATTAAAGTATTATCTTGTTTATAATTTAGGTATAAGTAGCTCAGTTTTCTTCCCCCACGATGAATACACCAAATTCATGGCAAATGCTCACCTACTTTTTAATCTGATTTAGTTAGAAGTTAGGAGGGCTAAGGTTAAAAAATATAAGTAGATTATCCATTTCGAATATCAAATGACAAAATACTGAATGCTACAAAGTGTGATTTCTTTGAACAGGGGAAGGTAAATACCACCTGGTTAGTCTTAGGAACGTCATTTTAAAAATTGAACACTTCCTCGACTTTTTTTATTCCCTAACACATTTGATTTTTGTATGCTATCAGAAATTTCCAAAAGAGATATGGATAGGGGAGCAAGATTTTCTACTCAGAAACAAAAGCCCAGCTTAGTGCAACTTGGTAGGAAGATCATTATTTTTATTATTTATTTATTTATTTATTTATTTATTTGGTCTATTTCATTTGATTTTTTTTTTTTGAGGTACACCTGGATTACAGCATGAGCTTAATGACACAATGACACAATCATGAGCTTAGTGAAACAATGGCAATGCTATCAGTA